TCATTTTCATGAGATTTTCTCGAGTCTGCATTTAAGTAAGATAAATATATTTGATTTTTGTCACGCCAAGTAATGTGTAATTGAATACATTTTTACTGGGTCAATTATACGAGATAGATGCACTGCGAAATATTCTTGACTTTAATGGTAACTTTAGTAAGTTATTAGCTCTTGTATCACCGTCTCTTTCTCGCTTTCCCAATGGTTTCGTTTGTGCCTTTGTGTTCCCTTTCAGCTTTAGGTGGGCCACTTCAGAGAATCTAGCGACTTCCTGGTGTTTCTTCAATGTTCTGTTTTACCTGTACTTTTGTGCTCCTTTGCAGGTTTAGGTGGATCACCTGGAAGCAGCCAGTTTTGGTAAAATCATCATGGGCAGTTAATCGAAATCGAGCTTGCTGCACTTGTTGGTAGAAGGTGTTAAAATTTGTTAAAGGATGTTTGTGAATTTTTTTCGCGATGCGAATTGCGTCCACAGTAGCTTGATGGGGAAGGTAGTTCTGTTTAATAGGCGGGCTCGGCGCCGCCGGGAACTAGGAACCTTACTTGTTTTGGCGGGGGCATAAACTGAATATCTACCAAGTTAGGCGTGCATCGTCGCAGTCGACGCGCCATCTAGGGTGTGCCCACACCACCCCCCTCCTAGTGACTCGACCGGAGTCGCGAAACAAACTTTTTTCTTTATGTAAGTTCTAGGATTCTTCGGTCGTTCTGTTAACGATGGAGGAGCGAGCTGGATAGGTGTGGATCTGGTTGAAGTTCCTGCTGATCCGGAATTCTGAGCTGCTGCTGGATAACTGTTGCTGCCCTAGGAGCCCGGTTGTGAATTCGCCGGTGCTTCCGTCAATGTTGGCAGAGTTTCCATGAAAGCTGGTCTCTGTTGAGACGATTTGTTCTTTTCCGTTTACGAGTATGACGAAGACCGTGCTTGAGATCCTTTTCGAGACCTCGAATGGCCCTTCGTATGGTTGCTCCAGTGGCTTCTTGGCGTGGTCCACTCGTAGGAATACGTGACTGCATGTGTTTAAAGTCTTATGGGTGAATGCTTTCCTTCTGGAGTGGTGAGCCGTGGGTATGGGACGGATGTTTCGCATGTGGTGTCGGAGTTTCTGTGTGTAGACCTGTTGTCCGTCCGTCGTTTCAGAATCGACGAAGAATTCTCCGGGTATGCGAAGACTTGTTCCGTACACCAGCTCTGCTGCTGATGCTTTTAAGTCCTCTTTGATGCTGGAGCGGAGGCCTAAGAGAACCGTGAGATCGGCGATGGGTACTGCTTCTGGCCATCTAGTAGTTCGGTCAATCATAGTTAGGCAGTACCTGAAACCTTTTGATTGTGGCAGTGGCCCGACGATGTTGATATGGACGTGACTAAAGCGCTTGTCTGGAATGGGGATGTGTTCTGGAACGTTGTGGCTGTGACGCGCGATTTTACTGCGTTGGCACGCCATGCATGTCCTTGCCCATTCCGCTATGTCTTTGTTCATCGAGGGCCACACGAACTTTCGTTGAATGAGGCTTCTAGTTGCTCGTCCGCTAGGGTGCGAAAGTCCATGAGTCAGGTTGAATACTTGCCTTCGTAGGGAAAGCGGTATGTATGGACGTATTTCGCCCGTGGAAATGTCACAGTAGATTGCGGTGTCCTTATCGTCTACTCGCAATCTGCGGAGCTGTAGCGAGCTCTGTGTGCGGAGTAATTCCTGAAGCTCCCGGTCTGTTGTCTGTTCCGTCGCAATCTCTTCCGTGGAGACGATGACGGGCATGTCGATGTCGTTGATCCGTGACATTGCGTCAGCTACGATGTTGTCGGTGCCTGTAACATGCACAATTTGAGTAGTGAACTGACCTATGACGTCCAATTGGCGGAGCTGTCTCGGCGAAGCTTTGTCGGACTTTTGTCGAAAGGCGTAGGTGATTGGTTTGTGGTCTGTTCGTATGACAATTTCTCTTTCTTCGACCAGGAAGCGGAAGAACTTGAGACTGGAGTAGATAGCTTGTGACTCCCGGTCATAAGTACTGTAGTTCTTTTGAGTGTTGCTGAATTTGGTTGAGAAGAATCCAAGTGGTTCCCATTTGCCATCGGCGAACTGCTCCAGGACCGCGCCCATCGCGGTGTCGGAGGCGTCGGTATGTAGAGCTAGTGGTGCGTTGTTTGCGGGGTGCGCTAGGAGTGAGGAGTTAGCCAATTGCTCTTTGCAATCGCTGAATGCTCTCTCGGTAACGGAGTTCTATTCAATTTTGCGTTTATCTCTCTTTTTTGCACCGGCGAGGTATGTGTTGAGATGGGCTTGGGTTTGAGCTGCGTTTTTGATGAAGCGCCTATAGAAGTTGACTATTCCAAGGAATCGGCGAAGTTCGTCTATTGTGGTAGGCTGTTTGTACTCGCGGATTGCTGCTATGCGTTCGGCCGGTGGTCTGATGCCATCCTTGTCGACCGTGAACCCTAGGTACTGTACGCTGGTTGCGCCGAGAGTGCACTTTGCAACGTTGATTGTTAGGCCGAAGTGTCGTAGGCGTTCGCAAACCTGTCGAAGGTGTAGTTTATGCTCTTCTTCGTCCTTCGATGCAATGAGTACGTCGTCGAGGTAGCAGAAACAATAGCTGAGTCCGCGGAGTACGGTGTCCATGAATCTTTGGAAGCTTTGAGCCGCGTTGCACAGCCCGAATGTCATGACGTTGAACTCGAATAAGCCGAAAGGGGTGATTACCGCCGTTTTTGGTCGGTCCTCTTCGGCTACTGGTATCTGATGGTAGGCGCGGGTTAAGTCTAGTGTGGTGAATATGTTGCAGCCGCGCAGTTTATGCGTAAAGTCGTGTAGGTGAGGTACGGGGTATTTGTCCGGAACGGTACTTGCGTTCAACCTTCTGTAGTCTCCGCATAACCTCCATTCGCCGGACTTTTTTCGTGTCATATGCAGAGGGCTGGCCCATTGGCTTTTCGATGGGCGGCATATGCCCTGCGACAACATGAATTCAATGTCGGCCTTGGCGGCCTTGAGTTCGTCGCCGGTGAGACGTCTGGCGCGTTCTGCGACTGGGGGTCCCTTGGTTTCGATGTAGTGCTGTACATCGTGCTGTGGAGTATCGTTGAATTTGATTGGCCGGGTGATGTCTACAAATTCTTCAAGCAGTTTGTAGAATGGCGTGCCCTGGGCGACGGTACGCACTGTTGGGCTCGTCGATGTGGACACTATGCAGTGTGCCGACAGCTTGGTTTGCTGATCGGTTAGTCGCTTAGACTTCAGGTCGATAAGCAGGCCGTAGTGGTGGACGAAGTCGGCTCCCAGGATAGGCTTGGTTACGTCGGCTACTAGGAATACCCAAGACAGTTTCTGTCGCAGTCCCAGGTTGAGGTCCAGTCGTTTGGTGCCGTAGGTGCGGATGGCCGATCCGTTTGCTGCGAATAGTTGGGGCGTGTCGGGTTGGCAGTTATGTTTCCTTGTGGACCTGCGGGGTAAAACGGATACGTCAGCTCCGGTATCAATAACGAAATGGATACCTGTGTCTCGATCCGTGATTATGAGGCGACATTTATTTGTTTCGCCGTCGCGAACCGCCTCGATGGGGAATGGCGGTCAGTTTTTTTGTGGACGTGTCTCCAATCACGAGCAAGGGGTAGTGCACCGCTCCGCGTTGGGTCCAAATTGTTTATGGTAGTAACAAACTCCCTTTTGGTCCTCTCTAGACCTGGACTTAGAATGTTGCCTGGATCGCCTGTCGCGTTGCCATTCCCTGGATGGCCCGATAACTCGGTCACACTCAAGATGTTCCAAACGGGTCATTATCTGGCTCATCTGACCAGGTCTGCTAGGTCGTCGGATCGTTTGCTGGCATGTGCCTCGACTTCCCCGACGAAAGGTGCGCGGGTTCGTTCGATGGTTTTATCTGCCATCTCGGCCAACTTGTCCAGTTCGACAGTTTCCACCACCGTGAGGATTTCTTGGACGTGTTTGGGTAGTCGTTGAAGCCATAGAGTCTTCAGTACCCGGTCCGGAACGCTTTTGTCTGCTAGGGCGCGCATTCCCTTAACAAACCGGTGGGGCGTTTGTCTCCCAGCTCAAGGCCCGAGAGCAGTTTGCGAAATTGGCTTTCTTCTGACTCTGAAAGTCTTGTAATTAATTTGTCCTTAATAGTCTGATACTTATCCTGAGTTGGTGGAGTAACGATGAGGTCGGCGACCATAAGCATGGTCTGTTCGTCGAGTTGACGAACGACTGCATGGTAACGTACATCATCCGAGCGGACGTGGTAATGTTCGAAGTAACTCTCAAGTTGACAAAACCAGAGCTTCGGATTATTGCGCCAGAACGTGGGTAGCTTGGCACTGCGGAACTCGTTAGCTTGAACTTCCTGTTGTGAACTTCCTGGGGGAAGCTGTTGTGCCGTAGACGGCGTGCTCGTTGCGTCCGGTTGTTTCGTGTCGTCCATGCTTGCTAGCACGTGGCGAGAGGTTATGTCGGACTATCGGCGCTCGTGGCGGTAGGAATAAAAGTCTTTTGAGAGTCGCGGTTGCACTCTATTATTTGCAGGGAACGTACGGATTGGATCAGTAAACGTACCGGTGCTTGCCTGGGTGATCACATCACGTCGGGGTCACCATTGAACTGATTGTAGGGGTTAACCGTATCCGGCCTGTGTTCCGTCACCCACAGTCTGAGTTCGTCTTTTATCGGGTTTAAGTGAACGGGCATACAATACCGCACATTTGCCTTTTGTATATATTTATTCCTGCACAGAGATTACACACAGTAATAGGCGAGCTCGGCGCCGCCGGGAACTAGGAACCTTACTTGTTTTGACGGGGGCATAAACTGAATGTCTACCAAGTTAGGCGTGCGTCGTCGCAGTCGACGCGCCATCTAGGGTGTCCCCACAAGTGCGCGAGCCCCTACCAGAAATTCGTTGCGCCGCCCTTGGGGGCAAAAAACGGTGAAAGCTAACGTACAAACCAGAGGGCAGCACAGGATGCGATCGGCGACCCGCCCGTGAGTAATCTCCCAACTCCTTTCTGTATCCCATTGCTCGCATTTGTAAATATTAATGAATATGTAATTCTTTGCATTTAGTTTGAAACTACATACAACTTAAATACTTCAACTGAAGTGAAGTATAGATTCCTCGGGCCTCGGTCTTGTAAGTCAAACCTTAAGTATGTTACCTTTGAACTCAATTTCGCACGAGTTTGGTGTTATGGTTAAAATGTAACGTAATCATTACATTAAATTATTTCAGAAGGTTTTGAGAAAATTTGAAGACCCCGTTATGAATCAAGATCACGGAAAAGCGGTCAGTCAAACCGCAGCAATGGAGTTAATGAAAGCTACTGACGATGAGATCCAGTCAGAACTTGAGGCTTTGAGAAGTTTGGAGAATAATTTGTATGGAGATCCAAAACCTGATATATCAGAGCCATTTACGGCAAAGAAAAATCGCGCAACAATTAGCAGAGAGTCTAAGTTTGAAAAGGTGTTGAAGTCTGAAAAAGTAGGAGTTAAATTGGAAAAGCAAGAAGCTGAAAGAATAGAGAAACAGGAAGTCCAAGTACCTGTACTTGCAGCTACTGTCGAAGAACTACAAGTTACGATCCGTCAAGCAGCAATTACGTCGGAAGAGAAGTATAAGGTTTTAGATGCCAGAGATCGATTGTTAAGATTGAAACAAGTTAAATCACATTCTTTAGCAACTGCAAAGGCAACGAAAGGTACTTGTCCTGATATGTGTCCAGAGAAGGAACGTTTAATGCGTGAATCGCAAAGGCAGGTTTCACCATATGAACAAATGGACGGTAGCGAGTATAAGATAAACCATATGAATGCAGTGAAACAGTATTCTCGATCATCTGCTGATCAAGAGGAACCAATGGCACACGAATTAAGACCAGTGGTGTCCCTCAAAATGACTATGAGTTATCTGCTACACGAGATTGCAGATTTATGCGAGCAAGATGGAACTAACTTGGCCGAGTGGTTTCATTTTCTTTGGGACCGCACCAGAGGAATTAGAAAAGATATTACACAGCAAGAACTTTGTTGTATCGACAGTGTTGAATTAGTCGAGCAATGTGCTAGGTTTCATATCATATGCTCGGAGCGCTTATGTGCCGAAGAGCCATCCGTGTTTGACAAAAAGATTAACACGGAAAACCTGACGAAATGTTTACAGACACTGAAATATATGTATCATGATTTGCGAGTAAAGGGAATCACTTGTAAAAACGAGCCAGAATTTCGTGGTTATGTCATTCTATTAAATTTAAATGATGGTAATTTCATGTGGGATGTTCAAAAGTTACCAGTCGAAATTCAGAAGTCTAAAGAAATTAAATTTGCAATCAAGGTGTACTTATCGTTAGAGTCAAATAATTATTGTAGGTTTTTCAAACTTGTTCGTAAGACGACATACTTAAACGCTTGTATTTTACTTCGTTACTTCAATCAAGTGCGAGTAAACGCCCTGTCGATTATGGTAAAAGCATATTGTAGAACCGCTTCAATGGCTTACCCCTTGTATGAGTTAATCGACATTCTTGGCTTTGAAGATGAAGAAGAAGCAATGTATTTTTGCAAACAAGTAGGATTGCGTATTTCTAAAGATGAAATGCACGTTATGATGAACAAGCAGAACTTTACTCTGCCTGAGTCAAATATAGAGCAGGGTCGTGCAGGCAATGTCGTCGAATCCAAACGGACTATGAATGAGCTGCAGATAGGACGTTGCATAGCTGGAGGGATATGGCCTGAGACATCATATAAAAATCATAAACCACATAATAGTTTTGATGCAAATGGTTTCTTGTTATCAGAGTCTATAAACGCAGAAGACCAAAATGTTAATAAGCAAGACGAGTATGAGTTCATGGAGGATGAACCAGTAAAATTCTTGCAAAGATCAAGAAATCAGTCAACAGTAAAGAATCAGAAAGAACTTAATGACATTGGTACAAGGAAGCTTTCTGATTCAAAACAAAAAAGACAGTCTTCGTTATTGCAGAAATTACCGAAGCGACCTAAGTCAAAAACGCGAACTGAATCTTCCCCTATTACCAATATATTTAAAGATTCTTACGAAGAAAAATATACCGCCCACGTTTTCTCTAAACCTGAGGAAATTTTACCGGCAGAAACAATTACCAGAACAGATACTAAAACCCATTTCGTGTTTAAACCTCCAGCAACTGTGGCTTATCGAGATGATTCTAAAACGACTATAATAAAGACAGGTAGTTCTGATGTACAGGCACCTTTTAAGGAGAAAATTGCACCTTTTGAGGCAAAATCGAAGGAAGCTGCTGCTTCTGATGTAAAATCATTTAGATTTTTACAGACCACCACTGCAAACAAAGTGGTACCTGTAAGTTGTGAAGTTGATTCGAAATCGAATAGTGCAGAAAACGTATTTTCAACAGACGTTGCTCCTCCATTTGTGATGGCAGTTAATAAAAGCATCTTTTCTGGAGCCCCAAAGGGTAATATATTCGGCAATCGTGCATATAACACAAATATTTTCACCACTGATTCTAGTAGCTCACCTTTTGCTACGAAACCTAATTCCGAAGGAAGCAACAGCAAAGAAGCATTGAGTACCAACAGTCAGGACATAAGTCAGAGTGTCGTACCAGAAAAAGCAGGTTTGAAACGATTTGTTGAGAACGTGAATATGAAATTGGAGCATCACGAGAAGAGTTTAAAGGCTGAAAAGGCAAGAATAGAACAACTGGAGCGTGAGAGAAAGTTACAGAGGATCGAGGAAATGGCAAAGGAGATCTTCGACGATTTGCAGGCAGAAATCACTAAAGATATTTGTGCATTATTGGTTGAAGAACAACTGGAAAAATTGGAACTGTTCAATCGCTTAAGCAGAAATATCACCGAGGAATTGTTGGATAAGCTGATACAAGAGACATGCGAGCAAGCCTTATCTGATGAGATCTACAGACAAAAAAAACTAAGTGAAATCTCTATTAAAATCAGAACTAGATTGGTAAAGAAGTATTATAATATTTGGAAGCAATATGCGTTTAAGAAAAGACGAGAGAGAGATGCTCTGGAATATACACCAGTTTGGTTGCAAAGAATGAGCGTTAAAGATTATGCCAGTTCGCTGTACCGATCCGGACAGGAACTAGTTATTGCAAGTATGAGACACAAAAGAGCGAAACTAGAGTTAGCAGAGAGTGATCTACCATTTAACGAAGGGTATGCACCGATTGAAATGATAATACACGCTGGTATCAGAGAAAATGTGAAATCTTCGGAAGTAGAAACTGTTCCAATCACATTTTGGAAGATGGTCATCTCCTGGCCTGATTTGGAGAATAAAGTTCTCCTTTGGCGTTGTAAAAGGATTGCAAACGAGTACCTTAATCCCAGTGACTACACAGTGGAACCTATTGTGAAAACTTATAAGCCAAATTCGTTTGAGGTGCTAAACATTTGCATAAGGTATTTCGAAGGAATAATTAATGAGCGTAATCTTATTGGCACGGACTCACTATTGTTCATAGCAGCAGCTTTTGAAGAATTAAATTGTGTTGTCAAACGATTGACAAAAACTATTCTGTCAAGATGTAAACTAATGCCCATTCCATTAGCGATTATTATCATTGGAGAAGAAGATTTGAACCCTGAAAAGATTACCACTGCTTTAGATTTGGAGAAATTGTCAGAATCTGGATACATCTCGGAGTACAAAATTCTGGTTGAGAAGTCAGTCGATGAAAAAGTTATTGTAAAATTAATTCAGAGTGCGACGCTTTGGCTAGCTATGAACAAACCTCCAATGTTACCATTGGAAATGGATTTTTTGAAGGAGATTCTAAACACCTGCTTGACGGAAGAATTATGGCTGAGGTATGCTTCAAGTGTTTCCAATTGTTTAAAATTTATTGGTTGTTTGTTTATCAAAAGCACTATTCACTTCTTTCAGATTACAGAGTCACTCTTTGTTTTCGGAGCATCTAGAGACTGCACTAAATGATCCAGATTTTGTGATAAAATTTCACAATGAAGCTATAGCACATCTCATGGATATAATCCTGGATCAAGAAACTCTCATGTATACGGATTTTCCTCCTGAATTCAAACATTTATTGAACAGTGACTTCGAATACCCGTGCACATACGAGTATTTTGACAAAAATTGGAAAGACGAGAGATGTAGAGCATGGCTAGAGAATATTTTGAACAGTTTAATTCTAGTCCCATGGAGGTAAGATTTCAAAAAATTAATCCATTTGATGATTTGGACGATAGAAATGCCAACATTTTTTAGCGGTTAATCCGTAGTTGGTGCAACTAGAAGAAAAGAGTTTTCGTTGCTTCATATTAACATTTCACTATTATTATCTGCTGGGTGTTTGACGTTTTATTGATGTCAAAATGTATACTTGCTTTATATCGAAACGAGCATGAGTTTTAAGTAAAAGTTGGTATTTACTGTCATCATGAAGTTCTTTGTTTCCAGATCTGAGTGGCCAGTAAGCAACACTTTGGACCTTCAACAAATTTTAACACGTTATTGTCAAAAGGTGTTACCAGATTCCAATTACAATGCGACAGCTAATAGTATTTTAAATAATTTGTACCTCACCTTTGACGATACCAGAGTACCAACTTTCGTAGATATAGTGTTACAAATTGTCAAGAAAAAAATACGCTGTCTAGAAGAGGACTTGTGTGTGGTTTACAACAAGAATCATATAAGACACTTTCGAAAGTTACCCTGGTGGTTGAAGTCTAATGTATTTACAGAATACATTATACAAAATCAAAAGATGGATAAAAGAAAAAGGAAAAAGGAAGAATCTTCTGCGACGTCTATCGAGAAGAAACAACGAATAGAAGTAACTAAAGATAACGTTAGTTTACAAGATCAGCCTAATTCTTTGGACGAGTTTTGTAAAGGAACAAGACAAAGTGTTATGGAAGTTCACAAGTTGTCCAATAAAATTGAGAAATACCTTGAGGATAGAAAAATGAAAAGTCAAGAATTAGAGAAGATGATAGAAAGAGCACTGCAAGATGAACAAAGTTTCATTATATAAGAGCTTCTCGAGAAAATATTTTATTTGGTCATTACATTGATCTATCTATTTCAGTGCATTATGTTGTCGATCTGATATTTTTTTTTAGTGGAAATTTTTGACTGCATTGAATTTTCCGTCAATGCATGTTAATCCACTTTTGTTTCTACATATTTCAAGTAAGAATAATTTTCCTATCTTGGTTTTTCTTACAAGGAAGGTATCCCAGGTCGATCTCTCCAATTTGATTTCTTTTATAATATGTTATAGTAGACTAAGCGACACGTATTTTTTTTATTTGCCATTAAAGACTTTAAGGGGGTGAAACCACCATCCAAAGTAAGGCATGTCAAGGGGCGATTTGGCAGTTTCACCCACAAAAATATAATATTCTTTAACCAATCCAACTGGAAAAGCTCTCATAACGAGAAATGAAAAATATAATTTTCTCAATGAAAAAAAAATTAAGCCCCCCCCCCCTCACAGGCCTTACTTTGCATGATGGTTTCACCCCCTTAAAGTCTTTAATGGCAGATAAAAAAAAAATACGTATCGCTTAGTTTTTAGTCTACTATAACATATTATAAAAGAAATCAAATCGGAGAGATCGATCTGGGATACCCACCTTGTTAGTTGGAAGAGAGAGAGAGAAGTGGGATATATAACCACGAAAAAACAGTGCTCTTATTGCAGTGTTATAAATGCCAGCAATACATATATTATTTAATATATGTATCTAATGCGCAGAATACTTTATAATTATACTTATTTTATATATTTATTTATGTAACATGTGTACTTGGTATTCATAGTCCTAAGATGTCACTTTTTGACTGATTCTAAAATAAGATTTTGTATGAAATATCGAGAAGATGAAATTAGTTATTTTACAGTTGCCTTTTTTTTAACTTTACTGTTTACTGTCCATCTAACCATCGGATGAATCTTTTAAAAAATTAAATGACCCATCTTACATCACTTTACTACCTTATATTCAATACTATTAGAGTTAATGAATTTGTAAAATGTTTTCCTTTTCCTTTTGTAAATAAATGAAAATGATTTGTACAATGTATATACCTAGAAAAATTGTAAATTACGTGACGTACGCATTTCGTGTAAAGCTGAAGAATTTTTAAGACACCCAAATTTTGTAAATAAAATGGTTTAAATTTTTTCCTGAGTTTACCATCAGCTAAAGACTATTTATTCTTAAACGGGTCTATATCATTTAAAGAATATAAAATTAGTAAAAGTTTCTCGATAAGTGGTTGAAGGAAAGATGGTTCAACTTCTGCTATGTTTATTAATATTTTTAAATAATTTGGTGCGTGAAAGATGCCTTAGTATTATCGTGCATTTGATTGAAATAATTATAGACAAGAGGGAGTATAGACAAACTTAATGCATCATTTTATAAATTTTAGAACATTTTAATTTTTTCTTTGAAGTCCTTTGACTTCTAGCCTATGTATGTATTAATGAGAAGCAAATTTATATATATTTTCGTATTACCATCACGTATCACCTACAAAATTGTGATATAACATCGTTATTTATTTAAATGTGCGGTTATGCCACTATTTTACCCTCCTAAAGATGGCGTATCGATCGATAATCAGGAAATCCGGTATGACCTTCCGTGTATCGTTACGTTAGCAATCTAGTGTAGTGCATTAACATAGGTTTAGGAATATGCGTAGTTCAACCAATCAGATTATCCACTACTCATCGCCTTCATGAGAAGAGGGCTAAAGTATTTCAAAAGTTTAACGGTGTTTTGAGAGTGACGGTTTTAAATGACCGTACTGGTATGTACGAAGCAACATTTCCTGAGCGTTTATAAAAGAAAGCTGCATCTTTATTGATATGTAAGTATTACTCGTTAATTAACATTGTGAATCGCTAAAAAAATCATTTAGTATTTCTTTTTTCAGCAGAAAAACCGGTGGTGAGGAGTTCTGGCGTGAAATGCTTCGTTAGAATTTGTGTGAGATGCAGTTGTAAATTTACTGCCATTGAATATTATTCCCTTTTCTAATTTTCAGACAAAGGAACTGTTTCGAGTAGATAATTAGGGAAATTGTGATTTTGGAATTGAAAGAAGCAATATGTCCCATTTAAAGTACATGAAAGAGCTAAATAGCTTAACTTGCTTAAGTGAAAATATTAAAGGTCCAATGCCTCGATGGCAGAAAAAATATCTGGAGACTTCAAACTCCAGGTAATGAGGTCTTGATCAGGTGACGTATGCCTTGTTTTGTGCTTACTGTGTCATTGTGTTTATTTTCTATGTTTATTCTAATGGCCATAACTTATGTTCATAAGATTAAAATTATGAGAAGTAATGACCTCAACTTCAGAATGATATGATTATGGAAGAGAAATAAATGCAATAATTTCCTTTTTGTAGCATCAACGCAAGCTCAAATTCCTCTCGAAAAGCAATGAGTTCCTCTTCTGCAAATTCAACCACAGGTAAAACACCAACTAAGCATCCTGAAATGCGTACCAAGAAGACACCATCAAAAAGTGTGAAAAAGTCTCCAAGTAAGTGGGTAAAACGACACTTCAAGATCATGTGTATGGATTTGATGTGTTAGATGTGAATGGTAAAATGCAAGAAACCACCAAAGTATAAAAGAATAGTTTTTATTTCATTTTGAACTAATTTTTTTAATGGTTTACGAGATACTGTTATTAATTTATTCTGGTACATTACATTTCATGGTTCATTTCGTATCATTGCATGTACTTGGTACATTGGTCAGTAGAATGCATGATAAGTGTGTTTAATGTTATCATGTGTATTATCTGTGTATAGTGGCTGAAATGTTGAACCTGCTTTTGGTGACAGGTCGTGCTTCAACTCCTGCAAAGACTCCTAGTGGTGGTGACAGATTCATACCATCCCGATCGACTACCAATTTTGACTTAGGCCACTACAAGGTTGGTAATTAATGTAATTTATTTTGTTACATGTGTCCGTAATTATGAAAGTGGCATAAGTAATTTTTGTTATAGAAAAAACTAACTTCATGTTATTGTAATTTCAATGTATGCAATCCAAAATATGGGGTAAATTCATTTTTTATAGTTTTTCTACTTAAACTACTTTCATAGTTACCAGTAATTGTATCTTTTTGGAATAACTTACATTTTATGTGACTATTCTAAAAGGACATTAATAAGTCCATAATATCTCAAACCATCAATCAGCCTTATATTTTATTTATACAGCTTCAACAAGCTTCACAAAATACTGAACAAAACGAAGAAAAATGTGACAATGTGAGCCCTAGTAAGAAGGAAATGCAGAGACTAATGGGAGAGAATTTTCACGGAGGTGATATAAACAACATGAGAGTTTTATCCTACCAAAACAAGGCTCCTGCCCCGCCTGAGGGATATCAGAATCCTCTTAGAGTAGTCTATAGTCAAACGAAAACTCCAGCTGGCGTGAAGGCATCCACCAGATATATTCCACAAGCTCCAGATAGAATATTAGATGCTCCTGATATTGTTGACGATTATTGTGAGCAATCGTTTTCGTTACTATTAATATTAACGTCAATAATGGTATAAAAATAATTTCAGTTTATTTGATCTACCATCTATGTTGTTACAGATCTTAATTTGATCGATTGGTCACCTAACAATGTCCTTGCTGTAGCACTAGGAGGAAATATTTATCTTTGGAATGCAGGAACTGGAACTATTGAGCAGTTGCTGGAAATGGAAGGTAACGATTATGTATGCTCGGTAGGTTGGATTCAAGAAGGTCCATACTTAGCAGTTGGGACTACATCTGGTAATACCGAACTGTGGGATTGCAGTCAGATGAAAAGGGTTCGCATAATGAATGGTCATTCAGCCAGAGTTGGGTCTCTTGCTTGGAATTCTCACATATTGACAAGTGGATGCAGGTATAGATTAATATAATGTACTGTATTTTTGACATAGAGTTACGTCTTTGTTTTTATTGCATGTGGAAGTATCAACTCAGCATTCAAGTGTAACCAAAATCAGATATGCGGTACGCGGGCGAGACGAAAATACTGTGTAATTCTACATGCAATATTAACATTGCGGTCTCTCTAAAGGATCAAATCCTTCAAATGTTTTTTTTTTCCTCATGAATCCTATTTAATATTTGTAGATCTGGTCAAATTGTGCATCATGATGTAAGACAACGCGATCACTTGGTTTCATCTATGAATGCTCATACGCAAGAAGTTTGCGGTTTAAAGTGGTCGCCTGATGGAAAATATTTAGCATCAGGTGGCAATGATAATATGCTGCAGATTTGGGCATCTCTTATGGGCCAGAATCATTCACACACTCAACCCTTGTATTCATTGAATCAGCATCAAGCGGCCGTGAAAGCTCTTTCATGGTGCCCGTGGCAAAATAATATCTTGGCCAGCGGTGGTGGTACTGCCGATCGTACGATACGATTTTGGAATTGCAATACTGGTTAGTAATTCACGTCAATTATCTTTCAATTTGGAACATGGATTCACATTTTTTAAAGCTTGGGACATTTAAGGTGAAGTGAAACCCCTTTTAAATCAGTCGATTCGAATAACACACCTTTTTTTAAGGGTATTGGACCAATCTATCCGAAATTTTGACACATGACCCGTGATCACCTAAGAATTTTCCTGACACTTTCAAAATTTGGATTTTCGGACAAAAATTATTTACTTAGCCTAGATCAGAACTAAAATGGCATCAAGCTCTCATATTTTGATCGATATACAATTATTGAAGGCCCTGATATGAAAAACGAAGGTGTGAGGACAATTGTACAACGATTTAGAACAATTTAGTTATCGAGAAACTCCCATTTGAACGGTATAAAGGCAAAAAAAGTATCTTGTGCGCTTCTATGGTAACACGAGAACTTGGAGAAAATTTAATTTACACTAAGATCACAGATGACGCAGGGTAGCACTCTACAGTCAATTAGGGTATCAAAAACTATGAATCCAGGGGACTTCTGGAGTTTTACTTAGATTTCTTTATAATTATTGTACGAAAACGACATATGAAGTATGCCATTTAGTACAATACCCAATATAATTCGAAAAAGCTGTTAATCCAACGTCGGTAACGTAGGTATTTAGATGAATCCTTTTTACCGACGTCGATCAAATTTCTCTACGTGTCACACTTCACCTTAATAAGTTCACTTTTTAATGCTGAAAGTTTTGAAAAATGGAATATGTGGAATGCAGAAAGTTTGGAAAAATGGAAAATGGAATCATTGTAGAATGATATTCTCGATAATTTTTCATTTACCAATTTCAATCAATAGGTGCTTGCCTAAATTCAGTGGACACAAAGTCACAGGTCTGTGCGTTACTGTGGTCAACTACGTACAAGGAAATAGTGTCGGGACATGGATACGCTCAAAATCAACTTACTATTTGGAAATACCCTGCCATGAATAAAGTTGCAGAATTAACAGGACACTCTAGTAGAGTTTTGCACTTGGCTATGTCACCCGATGGAACCACAGTACTCAGCGCTGGTGCCGATGAAACGTTGAGATTGTGGAAGTGTTTCCAACCTGATCCTCACAAAAAGAAAGAATTGAGCGAAGTAAAAGCAGTACCATCGAAACTTAAGCAATTAATTCGATAAAGGCCTATAGTGACTTAGTGAAACAAAATTCTTGTATTTATTTTTCATCGAACATTTCATTGAAGTAGTGTAACGCGACTAGTAAGTTTAGAGAATAAAGATTTTTGAACAACTCTCTGCCGACGTGTACTTTGGACATACAAAATCGTTAACATTGATTTATAATTTTCAACTACGATCATAAAGTTTCATTAAGTCTATAAATGTATGTTTTACAACGGAAATGTACAGTAATTTTTATAAAAATACAGTAACTTAGAAATAATAACGGTTTTAGTCATGTACTGTGCCATTGCAAGTAGGTATATGTAATTTTATAAATATACACAAGAATAATTTCATATTTTTCCCTGACATTTGACTTGGCATGATAACGTTAAATGCATATGTATATTTTAAGAAAAGTAATTTGTACTGTGCTACACAACTTCAAAATGCATCGAAACTATGTGTTTGATATTGGTGTTACGTGATTTATCCATTTCATTAATTAATTATTTAAAATAGTTACACCAATGTTTATTTCAGTCTTCCTAGTTTCATTTGTACGCTTAATGCCGAAACGAGCTTCCACTTTAGTATGAAAAATATATTTGTCCTCTTTATACCTTTTACTGTTGTAATAAATGCGAATCCCAAACATTGTATAAACAAATCTTGAAATTCCAATGGTAGAAGACACGGAAAGAATTTTATACGTAATTAGTGAATTCATGGATTTAAGAAGAAATGGATGGAATTTACTGTGAAATTTTTAGCGTGGAACTTTAACCCTTTCATGACTAGCGCCGGTTATATCCGGCAACCATTAAATTCTTCACATTAGCTAGCGCCGGTTATATCCGACATTCACGAAGCGCGTCGCATTGGCGAGCGACAGTAACGATCACGACGCGCTATACAACCGCAACCACGGTTTTAATCGGGTCGGGTGTCTTCCTGGAGGAAGTCCTAAAGGATATAAGGACAAAACAGCCCAAGGTCAGAATAAGTGAACCAGGTTGGTAGTTTGTTATGTCTAGAAGATCTTTAATTCCACCTATCCGTTTCAAATATTAATAAGTGATGTAGATTTTGTCCTCTAAGATGGAGTATAAAAATCTAAAAAAACGACAGCTGGTGAACGAGACTGATTCGGAAAGCTGTGATGAAAATGAATCATATATAAACACGGGACATCGAAGAAAAAGGCAATTAAATGTACCAAGTACATCAGAATCTGAAGAAACTGATGATGTTAACACCACACATTCTACAAACTGTGGTAATAGTAATGAACTAAGACTCATTGGAAAACACTTCCCTACTCCGTACATATCTGCAGGAAAAAATAAATTACGAAGATGCGTTGTTTGCAGCAAAAATTATAAAAGACGCGAATCACGTTATCAATGCGATGAATGTAACGTGGGATTGTGCGTGCATCCCTGCTTTAAAATTTATCATACGCAAACATATTACTAAATTATATCTATCATTGTTATATAATTTCCAATAAACAAGTCAGTGAAGATTTATTGCTGGATTTATTTTAAAATACAGAATAAGGCCTCGACAACATTCCTTTTATCCAATGCATGCTTAAGTACTCTGCCGTTCCAATGAGACCCTCTGATTTTAAACGGACACACGGGGAGTTCCAAAAACCCGAAACACTCTTAATGTGTACAATGTGCACTAACAGAACAACGACCCGTTCATTAGTGACGTACCGATGACTAGTTCCTCCATCGCGAAAGGGTTGAAATGCAAAAAAAGGAGACTGTAGCGGCTATCTTATATTGCTACGCAACAACGTATTCGGAACAGCAGCGAAAGGTCGTGCGGACCCTACTTTAAAGTATGTACACTGGACTCCATCGATGGCTTGCACCTGGTTCGCACTGCCCTCTCCGGCCGCGCAGAGTACTAGCGGCGGGAGCAGCGCGGAATTCGAATCGCTCGAGGGGCAGAA